GAGCTATACAATCTGTAAATCAGCACCCCTGGAACCATAGGTGACCTCATGTTGTACTTCCACCACTAGGCATCCAAAAGATGAACCACCCAATGCACCAACTGGTCGTCCCACCTAAAGTGTAACCTGATGATTCAATCCCTTTTGAGTGACGTAGACCAACTCGAAATTGAAATATGTAGAAATTCAAGCAGAGCAGTAAATAGGGACTCTCCCATTAATTCCCTCGGGGTAAAATTGAGCAAGAGGAAAATTTCCCGCTTTTGAAGCCAAAGAAGGAAAGCAAAGGTGCTGGATTTTTAAAAATGGAAGATGAGATAGGAACATCAAAGGTGAGGATTGCGTAATGATTCGACACGAGGGTGACTGAAGGGGAGGGTACAACAGGGACTTGTTGGCATCGAGCAGCTCTGAAATAGGAGATCCGTGGAAATATTCTATGGAGACCGAGTCGAGTCATTTCAATAGCATAAAAGAAGCTCTCCTTTTTCCTTTGATACAGCAGATTTTGCTCTATCATAAGAAAACCATGCAACGGTAGGAATATGCAGGGAGAGCTGTTCCGCAGTTAAAGTAAGTAGAAGATTGGCTGCGGAATGGACTATGATCAGCTTCGCTTCAGACTGGCCATACTGCCAAAGATGTACAATAATTTGCCTGAGGGCCAAAGAACCAACTGTCCTGCCATATGAGCTGATGCTAGAAGCACTTTGGCAATGTTGCTCGGATAATTTCACCTCGGGCCTGGCAGACAAATTTTTCACTTTGGTGACAGGAAGATTCTGGAGCTCAAGTTGCTCCTTAAAGGACAGTACTGCAGCTAAAAATAAGGAAAAAAAAATATGTTCTGTGATGGTTGCCGCCAGAAGAGCAGAAAAGGTAAATATCGTCAGTTTGTCAAGCATCCTTCAGAGCCACAGTGCATATCCCATTCTTGAAGACATGGAAGGAAACGTTTTGACTAACATGCCTCACGAATGCTTTGTTAATGTCATAGTTAGTAAGATAATCAATGAGTGTTTTCGGCTAAAGGAAAACAGGAAATTCACCCAAGGTCGTTTTTAATGAATCATGTAATGGAAGAAGCTTCCAGGAAGAGTTTCTTCGTTTAGGAACGAAGAGTGTCAGTCAGAGCAGAGGTCGTTTGGAAGATGGCTTCTAGCAAGTCTGTCCAATGATGCTCGAGCGATCCAAGAATTGATGTTCCGTCACTGAAGAATCCAGAATCAGAGTCAAAAACAGATCAAAGTCAGAGGTTCCGAAAGGATTAGTCAAAATGCCGGTATTGGACTCTAGCAACAAGGTGTTTCCCCATAAGGGGATCAGGCAAGGGTTCCCCACGAGTAATGGACCTGTGAAGAGGCAAAGCATGATTATTATGCATAATTGAATACCGTTTTTGTATTAAAAATAGGGGGAAGGGGTTGGGGAAAGAGTGGCAGCTGTGAGGACAAACAAAAAAGCCGTGCATCTCTCTCCTAGACTACAACCATCACTGCAGCAAGTAGTGCTGACGCTGCACGGAAACCACCCCTACTATACTTAGTATACCATGAACCCCAGTTCACCAAGACAGCATCTCCAGAACTAACGGAGCCAGGCTCAGCCAACAGAGGTGGGCGACAGGAGAACTAACGGAGCCAGGCTCAGCCAACAGAGGTGGGCGACGGGAAATGCAGCGAGTCATACCCTTAGGCTCCCTCCCACCTTCTGGAACCAAGAGGTAGCTTTCAGGAATAAACCATCATCCGAGGATAGGCGAGATTGCCCGCTGGGGCCACAAAGCGGCCTATCACCTTCCTGTACAACTAGGGTCTCGTGACAAGCAGCACTGCCGAGGTCCTTTACTGACAAGTGTGGATGACGATATCTCTTTATTCTTGTTAGAAGCTGAAATTCGGAAAGGGAAACTGTCCCTGAATATGGATGATGAATAATAAAACGCAAAGAAGGGTATTTAGATTCGATTCGAGGAAGGAGACAAGAGATCTAATTCTTTGGATCAAGAGTACCATCGGCACACCAAAAGACCCCATCAAGGGGTATATATAGATAAAAATATGCAAAAATACAGACCGCATTGGCATACAACTGGGGCATCCAGAGGCTGCTAGTAAGTGCTGAGAAATTCAGAATGAACACCTAGTATGTCGTCAAGCACACCAGAGTAGATATCGTATTTATACAGTTCCTGAAAGGAAGGGAGGGAGGGGGGGGGAGAGAGAACAGAGATAGAAAGAGAAAAAGTGAGAAAGAAGAGTAGAGCGGAAATCAGTAATTACAGACCAGTGTCACTCCTGTCAATCGCTGGCAAAATTCTTGAGACAATCTCACAGCAGATGACAGTGTTTGTTGACCACCACTCGCTTCTTTGTGACCGTAAATATGGCTTCAGAAAAGGTCACTTCAGCTCCTGATCTGCTGTTAAACGTCTCCACTATGTGGCACCAGACACTTGGATAAATCCATGGTCGGCTGTGTAGTAGAACTGCACATTGCTGGCACTTTCGATGGTGTGGCATCTAGGATTCTTGGCAAAGCTGCAAGCACTAGGAGTCGCCGGCTCTGCACTATGCCTCCTCAGTGATTACCTGCCGGGTCACCATCTGGAAAAGACCAGGGCCGGGACAAGACCGGCGAACCTACAATGAATGAAGTGATTACCTTCATGGTAGATCTCTAAGAGTAGTTCTCAATGGGACAGAGTGAACAAGACACTAATGGTGCAAGTGTTCCACAAGGAATTGTGCTTGAGCCATTGTTAGGAATGTCTACTTCAATGACAGTCGACACATCTCACAATCCCATGCATTTGCAGACGATTGCAGTCTGACATTTACTCCTCCAAAATAGGAAATGCCAGCCGCTCTAAGTTGCATCAATCACCAGCTTCCGGCTATATCACCATGGAAAACTGATGGCCAGTAACATTTGCTTCTGAGAAAACACAAAAGACTATGGTATCTAGGCACGATGATGGTAATGCTGAAGCAGTAGTAATTATGAATGGGAGTGCGTTGGTACCAAGAGATGAAGCTGATATCTTTGGGGTGAAATCGGACTCAAAACGGATTATGAAGAGTATTATTGTAATAAAAAAATGAAGCGTTAAACCGACAAGGGTCATACAGCGCATGACTTTGAAGAACTATTGTAAATCTTGCAAACAAGCAACACTTAGATGTATCTCGCATCTGCTCGACAGCAGAGGTTGCAAGATTCTGTATGAAGCACAAGTATACTCTTACCTTGAGTACGGTCCATTTTTCTAGGATTGCCTGTCACCCTTCCCCGTCTCATCAGCGACTTGGAAGAATAGAGAACAGAGCAAGAAGACTCATTTCTCGCCTGGACACAGCCTGGATACATCTGTCAATTCAGCAGAGCCTTCACAAGAGGGATGTGGGTATCCTTACCGTTATATACAAAGCTAACTGTCAATGGTACTCGTCTTCTTATACCCTTTCTGCAGGTCTGAGTCACACCCACTCATGTACTTCTCTAACCTATTTAAAAGCTACACAAGGCTTTAGCTTTAATGATTACCCGGATGTTTGTTCCACTCATCCACGACCCTATTACCAAACCAATGCTTTCCTATAACTTTGCATTTCTCTGTATTAAACTGCATCTGCCACTCGTCCGATCACTGTTTCAGTCTATTCAGATCTTTCTGTAGAACTTTAGTATCCTCGGCCTATTTTGGTGTAGTTGTCAAACTTGATTATCTAGCTATTTATTTCCTCATCTATGTCGTTTATGTATACTGCGAACAAGGGGCCCCACACTGACCCCTGTGTCAACATAGCTTACAGTTACAAGTTTAGGTGAGGTATGTAGAGAATTAAAGCATTAATCAGTACATTAAATAGCATGAGACTGAGACGCCTCCCTATGGTATGCTTACCTGGAGTATACCTGGAGAGGGTTTCCTCCAGGGACATTTGGTTAAACTGCAACAGCACGTAAACGTAGCTACACTATAGTTTATTATACAACACACATTGGTTACTATTTTATTATTTTCAATTTTATATACAAATTACCATTATCCTGCAAAACAATTTTGTAGATCGAAGCTCGCGCATTTATTCACCCAACCAGCCTATGAAAATTATGCTTCCCGTGACGAATTCGTTACAGACCTGTCATAAAGACACGCTGATTACATTACATTCGATCACGTTTCAATATGATTTTGAATGTAATAACCGAACAGTAATTTATATCTGCATTTATTAAACTGCTTTCATAGACAGAGTACCAGTCATCCCTCACAGTTACTTTTGTTTACTACGCCTGAGTTGCCAGATATTGCAATCCAGAAGAAAGTGTCGGGAAAGTTTCTACCCCAAGTGTACATCAATCACTCTCCTTATTTTCGTAAACATTACATCAGTGACTCACGAAATCGTAATGACACGACTGCGAACAAACCCTACCACGGGTGGGGCTTGAACTCGCGGTTAGAGTCGTAAAACTCCAGACCGACTCGTTAGCCACGGGGCCAGCTGGCTACAATAAGATCCATCCAACAGGTATATGTATAGACAATAGGAAGGTTAGCATAGGCATCTCTATCACCACAAATGCAAGTTTTTTGCAGACTAAATCTCCCACCAGCGTGGCCGTGACGAACTCTAGCTCAAGTCCCCTCAGGGCCGTTATCATGATGACGGCTTTGAAGGGACTTGAGCCAGAGTTCGTCAAGGCCACCCTGGCGGGAGATTCGCCTGTAAAAACTTTAATTTATGGTCACAGTGGTGCCTATGCTAACCTTCCTATGGTCTATAAATATACCTGTTGGATGAATCTTATTGTGGCTAGCTGGTCCAGTGGCTAACGCGATGGTCTGGAGTTTTACGTCTAACCGCGGGTTCAAGCCCCGCCCGTGGTATGATTTCATCAGACAATGTTACATACCCTGTATCTTATGTTTGAAGTTATTTCCCAAGAATAGAACACAGGTTACTGTACTTGGCAAGTCACATGATACTCACAACTTTCTTCAGTCTCTCTTGAATTTCTTGGCAAGGTGAATCGTCTTGATCAGAATATTTAGGCGGAGATTCCTCTAAATCCTCGAACTCTCTTATCTTCACGCTACATGAAGGGATGGTTCCCCAAGCTTCTCCGACACCTGCATGATAGCTTGTATCCATTCATCCCTAAATACAAGATAAACTCTCATTACATAGTTTTAGTTGTTTAAACCTTGGTAATAGATACCGACAAACTGGTTTAGAAAGACACGTGAGCAAACACTATGACATATTTATTAGAAAACGTTTCGGTGCTGGGACCTTGATCACTTCTAATTCAGTGGTTTAAAAAGACAGTATAAACAGACGGAGAGCGAGGTGTGAGTGACGCATGGTGACCATGTGTCACACTCAGGAATTTATAAAATTGATAAATTAGACACATTGGCAACTTTTGGTATCTTTACTGAGGAAACTGTTCGCCACACAGTGGCTTCATCAGTCCATACAAAGGAGAAGGGTGAAGAACAGGAGGAGTTTGAGGTAATCAGTCCCTCAGCCTTGAGTCGATGTGGTCGGTCCATCGATCTTGAAAAGAATAAAGCATATGCAGAGAAGTAGCTTATATACCGTAGGCAGGAGAGGTGCGACAGTCGTAGGTGGTATCACATTTGACCAATGTGGAAGTAGGTCGTAGGTCATCTACAATATAGAATTCATGATCCGGAAACAGTATCTGTCAGTTTTAAAAAAAATTACTGTAGGGACCTTCAGGAGCAACTTGTACTCTGGACAAGAGAGACAGAAGTTGATATTGAATGAAAGTGGAATCCAAACAGGTGTAACCACGAGACGTGAAAATCGTGCTGGAAATAGACCAATTTACATATTTGGCCCAATCCAAGTTCGCACAGGAACAAAGCCCGACTCCTGGCATACTGCCAGACGTTAAGAGCATACACATTCAAGCACAAGGACCAGCAACAACAGGCCAACACAAGTGTAATCAAAACTGTCATGCTTATAATGTGGTGGCAGTTCAGGGTAACTACTCAGCCTGAAGAAAAATAGGAAGTAATCTACCATTTTCAATCAGGAATCATTTCATAGCTAAATTATGTCAGAATTAAAGGACTACAAGGGACTGTTATCCACGTGTGTAAGCATAGCACTTCAGATTTTAAAGGGCCAAAAATACTTTAAAATCGGAATGGACACAGGAAAGAGCCAAAATCGCTGAATCAGAGGGGAAAATATGCAATATAGTGAACATGAAGTTTCAGGGAGTGTTTATTGAAATACCAGACTTAGACTCTCCTGACTAATATAACATAGCGAGTAACTGGAAGGTAAAAACAGTATAATATCCGCAAAGGACAAGAAAGTAATAATGGATGAAAGTTAGCAAAAAACACTAGAAACAGAGGAGACAGACAAGTATAAGTGTACAGATCAACAAGTTTTTAATGTAATAATATTTGGGATTTCACAAGATCAAGATAAACTGACAGAGATAAAGTAACATTGTGACTATTTTTGAAAGTAGACAGCGAGGATTCCAAGAATGACAGCGTCCTCTTGCTGACAGCCGTTAAGTAACTTGAATAAGACACATATTAACAAGGGAACAGTTAAGCCCTCAAAAGCAGTTCACATACTGTAACGTATATTAAATCTATAAAGGTACTTTTAGTCATATAAATGTTTTAAGAATGATGGGAAGATTGCATTTACCAAAGCTTACCAGAACATTTTTTGGTAGCAGAGCAGGAGATGCACAAATTAACATTAAGATCGACAACACTCTAATTACCAGACATAATGAGGGCAAATTCCTAGGCCTATACCTTGACAACCTGAATTTCAGCACCCATATCCAACACATAACCAAAAAAGTATCCAAAACAGTTGGGATCCTCTCCAAGATACGATACTACGTGCCACAAAATGCCCTTCTCACACTATACCACTCACTCATTTATCCATACCTCACCTATGCTATTTGTGCTTGGGGATCAACTGCAGCAACACACCTAAAGCCAATAATAACCCAACAAAAAGCTGCAGTGAGAATAATCACTAAATCCCATCCCTGGCAACACCCTCCCCCCCCCACTCTTCATAGATCTACACTTACTCCCAGTTCAGTACATCCACACTTACTACTGTGCAATCTACATCTACAGGACCTTAAACTCCAATATCAACCTTGACCTAAAACGCTTTCTTGAGAGTTGTGACGGAACCCACAGGCATAACACCAGACACAAACATCTCTACGACATTCCCCGTGTCCGACTAAACCTTTACAAAAATTCAATGTATGTCAAAGGCCCTAAAATCTGGAACCCTACCTGAGAACTCTAGAACTGCAGACACATTCATCACCTTCAAAACTACCATTAGAAAACATCTTATCTCCCTGATACACCCCATCAACTAACTACACGAATACCACCTGGTGGTTCACACTTACACTCACTCACCCATTTGACCATAAACAGAAATATTAATCTCAATCTTAAAATAATGAATCCTATGATACTCCAATACTGAAACTATGTACTGTGCCAAAACAAAAGCATTCACATTGCTAAACTCACAAACTAGTATTTAGTCACTTAGCCATAATACCAACTTACCTCATAATTTGTAATATTTTAAAATAAAGAATTAAACTAAGTCTGCCCGAAATGCCTAGCCATGCTAGGCGTTCTAGTGGTACACTCTGTAATCATTATTTAACTACATGTAAACCACACAATAACCAAATTCTGTAAATCCAACATTGTAATCCTTATAGTGAATAAACTTTGAATTTGAATTTGAAAAGGCACAATACCGTTACTGGAACACACAAGCAACTCGCACATAGAAAAGCTTACGACGACGTTTCGGTCCGACTTGGACCGAAAACCATGTACAGAGTCACTGTGTGACTTCGTACATGGTCCAACTCTGATCTAAACGTCATCGTAAGTTTTCCTCTCTATGTGCGGGTTACACAGGTTTTTAACATATGAAAACCGCAACAAATGAAAAGAAGCACACCATTAGAATGAAAAATTTCCAGTTTAAAAGTAAAATATAACTATGATTCAAAGTAAAGGGAATGTCTCGAGTAAGGTGCCACAAGGACTGCAGGTTTTAAATGTACTTAAGTTAATTGCCAGAATACAACACGTTGTAAATATCTGGAATAGGTAAAAAATTACTTAAAGTACAGTAGTGTGTAAATTAATTGGGACAGGAGCAAATTTTGTGATTATCTCGTATCTCTTAGTCTCCGGTTTAATTAATGTAGTGTGGGTTCTGACATGCATCCAGCTGTGGTGTTACCTGCGACTCGTCAGTGCTACTACCACTTTGTTCTGTAAGGGTATTCCTGCAAGCAATGTGAAACTAAACGTCCTTGGTGCACACAGGGTGCAAGAAGTCTTTCTTCAAAGGAAGAATGTGTTAAGCTGAACTTCCCTGACAACACCCTGATGCCTGCTAAGTGTGCATGACAACACCCTGATGCCTGCTAAGTGTGCATGACAACACCCTGATGCCTGCTAAGTGTGCATGACAACACCCTGATGCCTGCTAAGTGTGCATGACAACACCCTGATGCCTGCTAAGTGTGCATGACAACACCCTGATGCCTGCTAAGTGTGCATGACAACACCCTGATGCCTGCTAAGTGTGCATGACAACACCCTGATGCCTGCTAAGTTTGCATGACAACACCCTGATGCCTGCTAAGTGTGCATGGCTAAAGGAAGCAGTAAGGAAACATCCTAAGTCAAGGATCCAATTTAGGAAAAACACACACCACTTTGTGTTTGTGGAACAGAATGAAGAACTGATCAATGATCTACTTAGTACACCTTATGGGGGTATTAAAAGCTGCTCCGACCTCCATCACACACTCGCCACTTTTAAAAAGGGTCAGTATCATAATCTTTGGATACCCTCTCTACATGGACCCATCCCACCCTAAGTGAGCATATCATCAAGCCTAAAAGATTTAAAGGAAAAAATCCCAAATTATTGCCAGTTGGGTAGGTCCTGTGCCCCTCCCCCGAAATATCTGGGTGCATGGTTTACGCTTCCTAAACATGGAAGTGTACCTACCCCCTAAACGTAGGTGTTACAAATGCTAGCACTATGGCCTTGTTGCAGTAGACTGTGGAATACTACATTCTTGGGTGTGGTAAGTGTGCTGGGAAACATTCCACTAGAGAATGCACAGTAGGCCTTAGACAGCCAGAAATTTAAGTGTATTAAAATGTAAAGAAGTTGGAGTTACAGTTTTCCCACAAGGACTGCAGTCGGAACCCAAACAACCTTCGATGTAAACCTGATAACAGTCCTTTAATGGTAACTGAGGATGAGGTCATCCAGTCTACCACAGCAAGATCTGAGACAACCTCTGCAAAGTGTCGAAGAAACCAACCTCCCTGCAAAGGATTCTGGTAATACCAGAATGCCATCACACACACTAGTTGTGGCGAAGCTAGCCATCCCTGCTAGCACGTGTGGAGCTACTGGTCTGCCACTACTGATACCTACGGCTACACCTGAATATGGGGATGAGTTGTCATTTTTTCCCAATACACACAACTACAACAGTCAGACGACGCCACACAGGTAAATCCCCCGGAAACTGGAGATGAGTCAGATGCACAGGACCTACCTGCGATGAATGATGAAGCAGACTTGCCACAGGGACCATCAGAGAACACTAATGTAACCATGGTACCTGTTAAGGTGATAGGTGTTAAAGAAAGCACCAACTCAGAAGTGCCATCCTCCGGAGAGGCATTGGATTCGCCTGACCTTCCTCATATTATAACAAATTTCCAGAAAAAAATTGAGCATCTTGAACAGATCCTGACAAGTTTAATAAATATATGTAATCAGGATGATGCTCTTGAGTATGGTGATGATGTCAAAAGTGCAGCAATCTCCGTCAGCTTCAAACAATTTGTAAGAAAGAAGCCCATGACTCTTGCCTTCAAAACTTGCCTTTTAACTGGCTGCCAAGATGCCGAAAAATGCTTAAAAATAAAGATCCTAAAGATAAACACGTACAAACTATGTTATTTGCTCTTAAGTGTCTGCACACTGTAGTCAAAGCATTATAGTTTTACCATCTTATGGGCAAGAGATTGTAATAACTCACTACATATGGATA